CATCATAGGCCAAACCAGCCCTTCCGACGACCCCAAACAAAGGCGTGACCCTGGCCTCAAGGCTTAGGGGCTCGCTACCACCACAGGGGAAGCCCAAAACTGGGGAAAATCTCTCCCGGCTTGGCACCTTCGAATACAAGAGCGGACGTGTCGCCCGTAAGGTGTCAAGAGCAGGTATCACCTCTAACGTGATACCACAAAAATGCCCAGAGGTGAGTGCATCGAATGAAAAGGGCGACAAGAGGCCCCCTCGTCACACCTCTAGTCCAAAGCAAGTAGAAAAGGGCAGGATTGGTAGTCTCGGAGACCACCACTATAGCTCCCCGAAAAACAAGAGGGAAATGATGAGGCACCCATAGTTTTTGGAGAAGCTGATCATGGCCACTAGGACTAGTGTTTTAGCGACCCAAAGCCTAATAGGTCTAGGAGTTGTTGAAACCACTGAGCCTAGTAAATGGTCCGAGCACCTCTCCAACCCTGTCCTACTCACAAATCACCTTCTAGCACCAGCTATTGGAAGGGGCAACACATGGCTCCAGCCACCATGAATGACCCCTAGTAGGACACACAACGGGAACCGTGCTGTTCCCCTCAAACTTTTCTCTCCCTCCTTTCCTCACTCTCTTAGCAGGGAGACATGGGTGCCTCAAATGATAGAAAGGCCCCCATTTATAGGTCGGGAATGGACCGAATAGCCCGAGACCCCCACGTCGCGTGGCAAACCATAGGAGGTCAGAGACGATGTTGGATGCCCACGTAAGGTCGGGAAAATCAAGACTCTCACAAAGGCAGAACCGGTACAGCGTCGATGAGACCACTCAGTTCCGCCTGGGTCACGAACCCCGATACGCAGCACACTAACACGGCAGGGCTCGGTGGTCATGTACCACATCGTCAGGGCATCCTGACGGGGCAAAACACAATGGCCACCTACCGCATTGAATGCACCAGCCCTCAAGGGGTCGAGCAACAAAGCTCGAACAAGCCATGAACTACGAGCCCGCATTCGATATGCATGCAATACAGTGCTTTCACGATCACTTCATGATCGCAAAAATGCTCGGGGGCTAGTGTCGGGGTCATAACCCCGGGGTGTCTCAAGGCATCGATTAGTTAGCAGGCCGAGTGACCCATGACACATCAACTAGCAAAGGCCTGAGCGACCGAGGCCCAGCTGAGCCGAGTGAGCCAGGCCGAATGCCAAAGGCCAGGGTCAGCCACGACCCCTCCTTCTGTCTTAGCCGCACGACGCGCAAGAGACTTATGACCTCTCTGCCGTTCCGACCCCTGTGAGGAACGGGGAGAGGTCAAGCCCAGCCAAAAAGTAAGCACGCTACTCTGACTCCACAAGGACCGTGGGGACAACGGTCACTTTGGTCCGATCAGACGCCATCCCTACGCCACGCTATGCAGACAAGAGAACACCGCTCGGTGTTAACGACCGACACCACCATCCAAATACGGTTTGATAAGACGCATGTACGATTCTACCCACTATGGGATGGGATCCACGACGAGGGCCTTGACTCAGAGGCCATCCAGATTAGTGAAAGCCATGACCCCAATGGTCGGGATCATGGCCCTTAGCTCCTCAAGCCCACAGGGCGATCGATCGACCTGGGGGCGGCTACAAACTCCTGTATGACACCCCTAGAAACTAGGAGGCGATGATGAAGACCACAGCGAGGACCTTGTTGCACAGGACGGCTGGCGAACCACCACCGTGCCTATAGTGTTGCCACGGCCAGCACAGTAGCACCATGTTACACCATGCCACGATATGGCACAAGACCATGATGACAACCATGCCCAGACGTGCTCCACAAGATGGCGTAGCTTGCAAGCCAAGTTAGCTAGGACCTCCCTCAGGCTCATGACCCTTTGGTTGGGAGAACCTTCTTCTTTATACACGCCTAGCCCCAAACTCTATATAAGGGTAGGCAGGGCACCCATCTTGGGGCCCCAAAACTATTATGTTCCAACTCTCATTCATTCATTCTTACACCATAGAAGGGCTCCTGAAGCTTCTTTCGGGCAGCCCGTCTCCTAGCTCTAGATCTCCTACCTCTTCCACCATTCTTGCACCCCCATTGTAGGAACTTCAGAGCATTCAAGCGATGACACACACACTCGATCATCTTTGAGACTGGACGTAGGGCTCCGGCCTGAACCAGTATAAATCCTCGTGTCTTTTGGATGCTACCATCATCTTCCTAGAGCAGGCAGCAATCATATAAATTTACTAGTCCGGTTTACAAAACACCGACAACAGAAAACCAATCCACCTTTGGCTTTGTTTGGATGCATGTGTATCCATCTCAATCCACATGTGTTGAAGTGGATTGAAATGGAACTTAGTTTAATTGCACTCCAATTTACTTCAACACATGTGGATTGAGATGAATACATGCGCATCCAAACAAGACAGGCACACCCCCTCCTGTCGTCTCAAAGCTAACAAACCATGGCGAGTATACAATAGCTTCAATACACCTCACTCAATTCATTGGTTCCATACCCTCTGACATGGAATGACTCATCTGAAATGTTTACGGAATGTTTGGTTTGAGGAGCCAACAAATTCTAGATGGGATGATGCATCATGGGTCCATTCCTTAAATTTAGTGCAATGACCCCATTCCTAATACTAGTACTAATCATGAACTTGTGAGGAATGAGATAATGATGGATCCAATGGCGGGGGACAGATAAAAACCAAGGTATGGCGTAGAGTTGACAGAGCTTGAGTAATGGCACAAACATTAAGAAAAAACACATGATGCAGCCAGAATAAAGAAGAGTAAAACAAATTTGAGGTAGGGCAACTGCCACACCTAGCCCTACCAATTGCGCCGCCAGTGGATGGATCAACTCATTCTATTGAACAAATCAAACAAAAAAAAAATTAGAGAGTGAGATGATGATGGACCACTTTATACTATAAACCAAACACCCAGTTAGGCTCTATCCAAAAGCAGATCGAAGCAACTTTTATATCATATTAGTTATTAATCTAAGATGACCCAAAGACGCAAGGCTCGAGCAAGGTGCATCTCTTAGTTTTTTCCTTTATTATATACTTCGTGCACATAAATTTAACTAGGTTTTAGAGCTTCCAATATTTGACCAACTTATAGGTTTTCGGAAAGAAAGTTCCATCACTTTCACGGTCAATTTTGTACAACACAAAATTTTTATATATGATTTAAAATGCATACACGTGTCTCATGTTTTAGTTTTTTTTACGTCAATTCACATGTTTTCTCGTTGCCTTTTTTTTGGACCTAAGACGAGTGGAGCCAAAGGAGTCAACAATGAGGGAGATGGTGCAAAGATGGAGAGGTGGGATATATATATACGGGAGATAGACAAAGCGTGTGGTGGCACCCGGCACCCTAGGTAACCTCTAAACAGATATTTGACTGTAGCAACCCACAAACATATTTGTTAGTTAATTATTAAAAGTAAACTAAAATGTTCTTCAAATCTATGTATTAAGTGGTTATACAAAATAATTCAATAAGTATAAAGTACGTTGTTTATTTATATTTCTAATTACAAACATGAATCATTGTTAAATTAAAATATTGATGGTGTACTAGAATTCCTCGGGTCCATATTCATATTTATACGAATAAGAATATCCATATTGACGCTAAAACAAATATGAATATCTGACGTTGTAGATGTTTAGACATCCAGATATATCCCTAGATCTAACCAATGAGTCAAATGAATATTTATTGAATTGATTAATGAAATGGCTTTCTTTAAAATTCATGCTAGATTTGAAAAGAGTATTGCGACATCATTATCATTATTGTTGTTGGTGTTGTTTTACTAGAATTCCTCAGGTCCATATTAAAATTGATATGGATACAGTCATACAGATATCCATGTTGACACTAAAACAGATATGAATATCAGATCTTTCATATGATTCGACATCCGGATCCATCCATAGGCCTAACCCATAAGTCAAATGAATATTAATTGAATTGGTTAATGAAGTGGCTTCTTTTAGGGATGGATCCGGATGTCTAAACGTCTGAAAAATCTGATATTCGTATATGTTTTAGCATCAATATGGATATTTGTATTCGTATCAACTTTAATATGGACTAGAGAAATTCCAGTAAAACATCAACACCTACAACAATAATGATAAGGATAGTACGATACTCCTCTTTTAAAATTTAGCGTGACTCTTGAAGAAGCCACTTCATTAATCAGTTCAACCAATATTCATTTGACTCATGGGTTAGATCTAGATTTTGAACATCTAACCCATGAGTCAAATGAGTATTAATTGAATTGATTAATGAAATGGTTTTTTTCAGGATTCATGATAAATTTTAGAAGACGAGTATTGTGCTATCATTATCATTATTGTTGTTGTTAGACTAGAATTCCTCTGCTCCATAATAAAATTAATATGAATATGGATATCCATACTGAGACTAAAACAAATATGGAATATTGGATATGTTTAAACATCGGTTCCATCTCTAGATCTAACCCATGGGTCAAATGAATATTAATTGAAGTGATTAATGAAGTGGCTTCTTCATAACTCATGCTAGTTTTTAAAGGGAAGTACCATGCCATCATTATTATTATTGTTCTTGGTGTTTGTGGCTATAGAATTGCTCTACTCCATATCTTCAAAATCTATGATAATTATGTTAAAAAAATCTATGATAATTAGTGAGATGCATGTATGATTACAATAATAAATACATAGATTTACTTCATAAAAGAAAATCTTATGGATCCTGCTTCTATCCCATATTGCTTGATGGTGGAGTAGTATAAAATAAGAACAGAGGCATATGATGTTGTATGAACAAGTTAAACCTATAGCTTAATCAATATCTTCTACCAATAGCTCTTGCTGCCTAATCTTTGCACGCTTCCCATAATCAGCATCCAGTTCCGTTGCTAACACTACGACATCACTTGAAGCTACAATGGTGGGAGCTGCTGAGGTGGCAACGACCATGGCGGCGGCGCTACTCGTCGTGGCCATGGCGCTGTCCGCTGCGCCAGCGGCAAGCTCCATCGACTACACCGAGCACGACCTGGCGTCGGAGGCGTCCCTGAGGGCACTGTACGAGCGCTGGTGCGCGCACTACGACATGGCGCGCGACGTCGGCGAGAAGACCCGGCGGTTCGACCTGTTCAAGGAGAACGCGCGCCGCATCTACGAGCACAACCACCAAGGCAACGCGACGTACACGCTGGGCCTCAATCGCTTCAGCGACATGACCGACGAGGAGTTCAGCCTCTCCCCGTACGGACGTTGCTTGACTGCCCCGGTGGTCCAGCGCATGTCCGCCGATGGCGAGAACGAGGAGCTCCACCAGCAGGAGGACGACGCGTCGTTCAACCTCACGCACGGCGGCGGCGGCGCCACCGCCGCGCTCGGCGCCCCGCCGGCAGTGGACTGGCGCGGGAGGGCGGTGACGCGCGTGAAGGATCAGGGGCTAAGCTGCGGGAGCTGCTGGGCGTTCTCGGCGGTCGCGGCGGTGGAGGGCATCAACGCCATCCGGACGAGGAGCCTGGTGCCGCTGTCGGAGCAGCAGCTGGTGGACTGCGACAGGGCGGACCACGGCTGCAACGGCGGCTTGATGACCACGGCGTTCGACTTCATCGTGAGCAACCGCGGCATCGTGCCGGAGGGCGCGTACCAGTACATGGGCAGGCAGGGCCGGTGCCGGCACGCCACGGCCCCGCCGGTGACCATCGACGGGTACCGGAAAGTGCAGCCGTTCGACGCGAACGCGCTCATGTCCGCGGTCGCGGCGCAGCCTGTGGCCGTGGCGATCGAGGCCGACGCGTGGGAGTTCCGCCACTACCGTGGGGGCGTCTTCAGTGGGAACTGCGGGGGCAGGCTGGGTCACGCGGCGACGGCGGTGGGGTACGGCGCCGACGCCGGCGGCCCGTTCTGGATCGTCAAGAATTCGTGGGGTCCCAGGTGGGGCGAGGGCGGGTACGTCCGCATCAGCCGCAACGCGCCCGTCAGGCAGGGGGTCTGCGGCATCCTCACAGAATCGTCGTACCCTGTGAAGCGTTAGGCAAACTTGCCGATACCCATTTCATTTCAGTAGCTGTTCCGGTTTGTTCGTTGGGAATAAAAAGTTTCGGTATCGGATGATACAAGTGACCCGTTCCAAGTTCCATAATCTATCTACACCTAAAAAAACTCTAAAGTAATTATCTACCGGTGATACCAAATCACATCCGACTCCACTTCAGTTCCCCTTCAACATAGATTAGAGAAATGTTAGGATGAGTAGGACTATTAGTTACTCGTTGGGGCAAGCCCTAGATTGGGACGGATAGATAGATATACACACGGATCCATATATAGCGTCCAAGTATAAAGACACGTAAGTGTGTACGGCCGGATTAGGAGCCTTCGATCGGGCTAATAAGTCCGGCCCTAGCTACCTATACGGATGAGTTCCAGATACACCCGTTCGGAAGCCTACGGCGCACTGAGTCCGTGACTCCGTGTGACCGTGTCCGACTATATGCCAGGAATAATCCGCTTTGCTCTCCCCAACGCACGTACCAGGATCGCCTGGTAGAATATTTAACGGATACGAAGTCCAGATCTGACTTCGCGATCTCCTTCCCATGAAGACTCGATCCGACACGAACTCTTTCCGCGTCCGATTTCAACATCGTTGTGTCCACGCGTGCAAATAAAAAGAAGATTAATGTTCCGAACATCACGTTAAAAATTGCATTTTTTACATGTTCATACTATTTTTTTAAATACAACACACACTTATATTTAAAGTACTATATCATTGTTATATTTTCGTGCAACGCACGAACATCTATCTAGTAATAATAAAAAAAATATTCATAGTAAACAATGACGCATATAGTAACTTATATGAACCTGCATTTATACATCATAACGCTCATACTTAAAGTACTATATCATTGTTACGTTTCCATGCAACGCATGATAAATATATATATATTTATTCACAGTAAACAATGTCGCATATAGTATCTCATATGAACCTGCGTTTATACATCATAATTTTATTGATAATGATATCCTTAAGACATCCGTCATTTTTTATGGGACGGAGGCGTCTGCCCTTGCGCCTCGTGTCGTGCGCCCCACGCCTCGTGCCTCGCGCTAAAGGATGGGACGGACGTGCCTGACCTCACATCACGCGCCTCATGCCTTGCGCCAAAGCATGGGACGGACGCGCCTACCCTTGCGCCTCATGTCGCGCACCCTCGGTGGGATCTCCGGTTAGCCTAGAGGGGGGTGAATAGGCCTGTTAAAATAAAACTTGGACAATTGTCAAATTCGACCCGCAGCACTGCCGCTTTGAGCCCACGGCATTGCCACACCTGTAGACACCTTCAAAGCACACTTCAAAAACTATGTATCGAAACTTAGATCGGAGAAATTACTGAGTTTCCTGCAGGTATGAAGATCATAGATCGACAGCTAGAAGTGGTAGTAATGTCACACACAAGTAGATCAGCCACAAACCCTAGAAATCACCTCAACACAATATGAAATACAAGTGAAGTGAATCAAGCATACGGTGACACGAAGATTTATCCCGTGGTTCAGCTCGCCACTAAGGTTTGCCTAAGTCCACGTTGTTGAGGTTAGCCACCAAGGCTTAGGGCTTTGCAACCCTTCCTCGTTCTCAAGTCAAGAGACTTAACTCTTGAGATGATGGGTGAGTTTACTAGCTTCAAAAGATGGCCACAAACCTCTTAGAACTGCCACACAAGTTGGCAAGCTTCACTGGGACACTCTAGCCGGCTAGGAGCTAAGTTCCAAGAGTAACAAACACAACCGCCAGCTAAAACGTGAATCAAGTGCTCTTTAGAGTTGGGGAATCAGTGGATTTGCTCTCTAATCGAATTTGTGACCTTTTTCTCTCAAGGATTTATGGAAAATCAAAGGGGAAAGCTTGTGAGCTCAAGGTCACCAATGGAGAAGAGAGAGAGTGAGCACAAGTCTGTTCCTGTCGGTCTGAATGAGCTGAGCGAGGAAGAAGACTGTTGTGAGGGAAAGAGAGGTATAAATACCTCCCCTGATCCGCGGCTTATCTACGGTAGTACCGCTCTATGCGGCATAGTCGCGCCTCCGGTGCGGCACGGCCGCACTAAGCCAGACAACAAGGGATAGAAGGGAGTTAACCTGGCTGTCATGGCTTAGCTTTGAGGATGCTTTTGTGTAAGATTAAGCACTTGGTTGCACATGTTGACTTAAGTATTGTGTTCCTCTTTTATAGTATGGTTTTTTCTATACTCAAATTCAAAATATAAAATAAAATAAACATCCTTTTTAGCTTGATGCCATCATCTTTTGTAATTGGGGGCTCCTCTGTTATGTACAACATCCTCTCTTATGATTCTCCTGCTTGTCATCTCGATAAATCTCATTAGTTCTCTAATTGCATGATCATTATCACCAAAACCCATAATTAGGACTTGATTGCACTTTCACCCTCCCACGCGCCTCGTGACTCCCGCCATGCCGCAATCCATCCGCTCGCGATCCATCCGTCTGTGATGCAGCAAGTAGATGAGCACATGTTGCAACCGTATGTTTCATGCGTTTTAAATGTATGTTGCGTCTGAATGTTGTAAAAATAGATCTGGTGTTGCATTGTTGCAATAACTATACACGTATGTTGCAAGTGTTTTATCTGGATGTTACATATGTTGCACTGGCTATACACGTATGTTGCAAGCGTATGTTTTAAATGTTTCAGCTGTTTCTAACGTATGTTGCAAGTGTTTTATCTGGATGTTGTATATGTTACGGTGTCTATACACATATGTTACAAGCATACGTTGTAAATGTTTCATCTATTTCGGACGTATGTTACAACAAATGCATTATGTTGCAAGTGTTTCACCAGCAGACGCTGTTAGGGGGCGTAGGCAGAGGTGGTCCCCTCGGGTGTAGTGGTCCCCGCATGCGTGCGGGAAGCCAAGCGGGCGCGATAGCAGGCGCGAAGCACAAAGCTATATCCATGGGTGTGACAGCAGGCGTGAAGCACGAAGCTGCATCCATGCTCGGCCGCTCTCTCTCTCTCTCTCTCTCTCTCTCTCTCCTTATTCTAGCCGGATGCGGAGTACAAAGTTGTATCCACGTGCGGGCAGCAAGAGTGCGTGCCCAGGCGTGGCCCGTCGCTGCTGCTCCTGATGGCAGCGGGCGCAATGATTTCCCCCACAAGCGTGCATGGTCAAATCGGGACCCAGTGACAGAGGGACAGGGAAGGAGCACGCGCGGACACTGCACGGTAAAACTGGACATGGGGCGAGCAGCCAGCGCAGGACGTCCGGACGCGCCGCTAGTCCCAGACGTCCGGGCGCTAGACGTCTTATAATTTTATTAAGCCGGCCGGTAACATTGACCGTATAAGATGGCAAAGAAATGGCCATACATACATATACTCGTGTATGAGGGATGAGCTGTGTACTGAAGGCAATAAGCCAAAGACCGGAGCTTTCTTTTCGCATTCTTAGAGCTCCTTTCGAACTTAGGAATTTTATAGGTGAATTTGAACACAGAAAACAAAAAAAAAACATATTCCAAAGGGACCTCAATGAAAAAACAAAGAAAAAAAAGATAAAGTTTCCCGTTGTGATCTTACCCGGCCATTGCACAAGGCTCCACGCCTCCACACACACTTCATGCACACGGAGGTGTCACGTGCCAGTGGCTCCACAAACGCCATGACAGCATCGGTGACTTTGACCTAGAGGTGGAACGCACTGATAGAGCTCTAGGACGCACGGAATTAACACCATTCTCTAGAGCAAGTTGCTTCGTCCGCCGCCACAAGCATCACACGTGTCAGACAGAAGCCAGACGATAGAAGATGGGATGAGTGTCCACCTCCCTAGTCTCATTGCAGACAGCCGCCGCGTAGTTCGCGGCGATCCAATTGTGCTGATGACCAAGAGCAGCTTTAGTGTCGCGTCGATCCGTTTGAATCGATGACGAACACAAACTATGTTATTAGGACCGGACCGGAGATAAAACCAATGAGATCATTGGTTCATTGGTTCACTCCTCACTCCTGTGCTCTGCTTTTTCGACCGTTGATAAAAATCTGACGGTTGAGAAAAAGAGGGAGACGTGGCCCAATGAAAGATCCGAGCTTGGTCCTGATCTCATCTTAGATAGATAGATAGATAGATAATATGATTTTTTTATAATAGAATTCCTAGCTATATAGTCTTTTTATCCGATATGCTTGTGAAGGCAGTACTAGATGCACTCCCCCGAGGCCCGGAGTCGTGGTGCTGGGAAGGGTGGATTATTGATGTGTTTGGCTAGCTTAGCTTGCTTTTTTTCTTTTTTAAAAAAACCAGGCATTCTCATTTTTTCGGTACTGTACTCCCATTCTTGTTTTACAGGATCTTGAAAGGATAAGAAGAAAGAACATAGCCGTGTGAGAGCTCATCAGCAGCATCCGCTGACCTCAATAGTTCATCCATCGTGTCTGCGTTCTTTTTTTTTTTTTACCATTTCACTGCTCTGAGCTAATTAAATGTTCGATTGAGAAGAGATGTACTTACAACCTTACATATTGTGTGTGTGATTCGACGAGTGATGGTGCGAATCTAAGGCAACGCTGACACCATCATATTAAAAGTAATATGTTTTCATTTGCCTGTAGCAACACATTGGCATGTAATTGTTTTCCTAAAATTATTTCTAAAAAACGAGTTCACACGAGAAACACATGACGTTGCAACACTTAGGGCCCGATCGTTTGATAAGGAACGGTCACATGGAACAATTCTTAGCCAGATTGATTATCTAACTTATATAACTTTGATGAGCAGAAATAATTTCTGGGCTCAATTCACCCTAACCGAACAAGCCCTTAGGAAGTAAAGATACGGTCATAATTTATTTGACAACATGCTACACTTAGGAAGTAAAGATACAGTCATAAGACCCTTCGTACCTGGCCATCAACTTTTTAGGCGACCTGATCCACGAGCAGCTAGAGGAAGCCTATACTTGTGCCGACATCCCAGATAACGCCACGTTCGGTGCCATTAACGTGAAGCCACGAGCCGTCGCCGTAGAAGATCTTCCGAAGGCGTTGGACTGACGACAAATGCGCTACGATCTCTGCTCGGCCGGAAGCGGATTTTTTTTTAGGAATGTGCTCCCACTCCCTACACCGTTCCTCGTTTAGATTAGGGTTAAAATCAGTATTTGGCATTGTAATATTTTCGTTTGTATTTGATAATTATTGTCTAATCATGGTCTAACTAGGTTCAAAAGATTCGTCTCGTAATTTACAATCAAACTGTGTAATTAGTTATTTATTTTATCTATATTTAATACTCCATGCATGTGTCCAAAAATTTGATGTGAGAAAAAGAGAGTGAAAAAACTTACAATTTAAATAAGGCCTTAGATGTGCATGGGATGGGTGCCCCGTGGACCCGTAGTGCACCCATTCCCATACATATCCAATGATGCATCGTGTGGGGGGACATGCCCTAGGCGCATATTTAACTTTCTTCCACACTGCACTCGTCACCCCGTCGAGGACTAGGCTAGGCGCAGATTTAACTGTCCTCTGCCCTGCACTCCTCGCCCCGTCAAGGCTTAGGGCCCGAACTGCGGGGCCTGCTGGGCTTTTGCTGCCGCAGTGGTGGTGGAGGGCACCAATGTGCTGTGCACGGACAACCTCGTCTCGCTGTTAGCTCAGCAGTGGCTGGTCGTAGTTGACAGCGGTGGCTGCAAAGGCTACTCGTCGTTCAAGGCCATCTTCTACGTCCATAACTCAGGGGGCTATCCTTGGACACTACTTATCCATACAAGGCAAGGCAGGGTAAATGTCAGAAGGCAACGACCCCCTCATCTCCATCGATGGCCTCCTTCGGGTCACCCCGCACAGGGAGCTCGAGCTACGCAAGGCCGTGTCTGAGCAACCGACGGTCGCACTTCTCCAAGCCGGCGAGGACTTCCAGAAGTACAGAGGTGTCATATTCTAGGGGCCGTGCAGGATGGAGATCTACACACGATCATCGTCGTCGGGTACGCGACAACAGAACAAGGGGAAGACTATTGGATCCTGAGCTGAAGAACTCTTGGGGTGCAGAAATGGGGAAAAACGGGTACTCGAGCATGAAGCGCTTTGCTGGAAGCTACGGGCCTCGCCTTTGGGTACCCCATACTCCTCGAGCACTAGTTACAAGAACAATGTTCCAGTAATAATCAATGAATAGATGGTTCTCTGCTTGGAAAGTTGGTTTTGCCCTTAAGGGCATATGCCCCATGTGCATGCACCGTTGGATGCATATCGGGATGTGTGTGCAGCCGATGTATCTCTATGTACATCTAATAGTGATGCACATGGAAGCATATGCCCTTGAGGGCAAATTTTCTGCATCATGCTCTGCTTGTGCTATATCTAGTACTTGTCCGTGTGCGCGTTACTATGGGCAACAACCATGTGTGATATATTCAGATAATTGGGGATTGCTATGATCAGTTTTTTTTTTGGTTATCACTACGGAGCAGTGGTTTTTCCTGATGGCTAAAAACCATCAGGAAAGGCCCCAAAACCAGCAGGAATCACATTTCTGACGGGCAGCCGTCAGGAATAAGCCGACAGAAATAGGTCGACAGGACTGACTGAGTTTTCCTGACGGCTGGCCGACAAGAAACTTTTCCTGTCGGCGGCAGTTCCTGACGGCCTGTGTCTGAACAGCAAAAAAACGATAGCTAACAGCCAAACCGTCAGGAATGTCATTCACCCTGCCCTGACATGGCTCCCAACAGGAATAATAAACTGGCCGACATGAATAATAAACTATGGAGCAGTACAATAACCATAATAATTTAATAAAATAAAATTCTTGCTAGTATCTAGGCACATGTTTCAAGCATTCACAAGCAGTCGTATACATTAACCAGCATTCACAAGCCATGATATACATTAATCAGCATGTACCTCAATATATAAACACATCTTTTATTAATATTTTCATCACTAATTCACAGTTCACAATTCAAGTGGCTCCCACTTGATTAGGTGCCCACAATACTAGTGCTAATACATAGGCAGCATATGTAAACTCTACAAAAGCAACAACTAAATTGCTTCATGAAGACCATTTCATTCCTGAGTTACCCACCTACAAAGTGTTAGAAGGTTACAGCCATTAGTTGTTTAAAATAGAACAAATGGCTTTAAGAAAATAACAGAACAAGTTAAAATGTTATCTTTTTTACTTTTAAATCAACAATTTAATATAATTGAAGAACTGCATATAGACAGCCATGATCAACACTACAGTTGCTTAAGCGACAAACTATGTTCTTCTAGAGGAAGCTGTTGGATTTTCTTTAGACTTGGGAACATACCTCACAAACACTGCAGAAGCAGCCTCTGAAATCGGTCCTGGACATTCAGCATGAGCATTTCTTCAACACAACCTACACACCATGCATAGAAATGATTTTTTAATACTGGAAACATAACAGTTATTAAACAGCTATTAAATAAACTTCACTAAATTTTTTCTGTCTGTCTGTAACAAACTAGACGTGGTATTGATGAATTATCTGCATGTGCTTAGATAGCAGATACAGACATACAAATACATAATCACAAATTCACATGTCAACCAAATCAAAATAGCACTAACTGCTAAGTACAAAGCACTTACAGCTTGGTAAACATCACTTTTTATCCTAAATAAATGGACAATCTCACTCAATTTATCTAGGATAAAGACTGATTTTCACAAAGCTGTTTATTCATGGACACACAATGTATAGCTTGAATTTTCTGGGCATTATAGTTAAGAAGACACATACAATAGAAGCCAAATATTTCTAGGTGCTCAATCAACTCACCATCTATATCACAAATGATATGGCTTAGTTTGGGTTGATGTTCTTTTGTAGGATCACTTTCTCTATATTTCTAGGTGAATCCATAGGTAAAAAAAATGTGTGCAAGCTATTGAAGTTTAAGTCTGTTAGCAAAAAAAGTGTGCAAGCTGTTTGGCTGGCATATGCAGGATGCTTCACAAAATACAGCAGTAATAGCATATAAGCATGCAGAGGCATTCAGCTGTTGATACACAATGGCCTATGGAAATATAAGCGAACTTCAATAGCTTGCCATAGGATTTCCATTTGAGAAGAATTGGAGTGAAGTTGCAAATCAGGTTAATTAATGGAACAATTGCCTTATTTGCTATGTGAAAAGAAGAGATGATGAATCATGAAAATGCAAGGACGTACATTTGATGATGAAAATTAGAGGTAATGTATTGTATTTATTTTCATTTGATCATTTTTTTTTGCTGAAAAATGAAAAGTATATCATACATCATTTGTTTGATTTTTTTAGGATGTCGAGAATGGTCGATGAAGTTGAAAACTTGAAGTCAAATGATGTATTGTCTATATCAACGCTTTTCGGACATGCTAATGGTACTAGTTTCTTTAATATTCTTTATCACTTCTTTTTATAGTACTCGCACCCCCCCCCTCAATTTCAGTCTAGCTTCGCCACTGTGTGCACCTCGCCATGACCTGTGTAGTCTCTATTTTTGCAGGCAGCTTTTAAATTTCAGTTGGAATTTAAATAGGCAACATATTGTTGACACTGTGTGAACTTCAAAACAGCACATCTGCTCAAATAAAAAATGACATCTTAAACTGCACCAACCAACCTACCATCTCCAGCGAATCGACATGCACACTGTTTAGACATATACAGCAGGTTAACGAGTATCTTGGTCACACTAAAGGAATAACTAAGTCAAGTACTGAAAGAATACCTTATCTGAAATTTTTAGACCAAATACCTCATCTAATTTTTTTAGACGAAATACCTTATCTGAATTAACTCATGTGTGTGCGCATCAGACAAACCTTATGACAGGAATGTATCATTCCTAACTAAATGAATGTGAGCATACATAAGAAAATACATTATTTCGTTCTGGACCCATTTTCCTAATAAACCAATGTGAGCGTACATAAGAAAATGCACACTCTGAGAAGAGTTTCTGTACCTCATCAAGTTCAAATGCTTTCTCATTGACCTGCTATCTGCTGCTGCTTGCCCTTAATCTCGTCACAACCTAAGCTTGGAGCATTATTAGAACCACCGTCATGTTTCTTGTTACAGTTCAGCATGTAAATGTTAGTAATCAAAGTTCTATACACAACAAACGAATGGAGTCTGCTTACTTTTTCTGTTCTTGTATATATCTAACACACTTCAGAGATTTACATTCCTTAAAATTAAATCTTCATTAGCAACAGATGGTGTCACATATACAGCCATAGGAGTATTGGGCATTAGTTACTAGATGGAAATTGGAATGCTACATGTCGCACTTAACTGTCACTATACTGCCAATACAGTGGATTATACAATGGCAGACAAACAAGAATTCAAAAGTAGCATTTATCAGTAACCCTAACCCAGAACAAGTGAGATTTGCAACAAAGAGAGCAGATCTGAGAGGGAGGTTGGGAGATAGGGAGAGGGCATCTTGTGCAGGTGGGAGGGGACCATACGGTGGCGGCGCAGGCTCGGGGAGGCCCCTGGGGGCGGCGGAGACACGGGCGTCGTGGAGGCCCTCGGGGGCGACGGCGGCGCGGGTGTCGTGGAGGGCCTCGGGGCGGCGTCAACACGGTCAGCGACGAGGCCCCTGGGGCGGCGGCAGCGCAGGTGTTGGGAGGGGCCTGATGGGGGCAGCGGTGGGAGCAGGGGATCGAACGCGGAGGGCGGGCTAGGGTTTGTGGTCTTTATGATGTGAGACCCACGGCGGCTAGTAAGGCGCGGCGTCATTTTTTTCGCGTGAGCTGCGTGCCCGGGAAGACTCCTGTCGGTCTAGGCAGGGCCGTCAGGCTCATGAAGGTGTTCCTGTCATTTTATATCTTTCCTGTGGGTTATTAAAAACCCACAGGAGTATTCCGAGCCAATCCTGTCGATTTTAAACAGACGACAGGAATCGTATGAAGTTCCTGACGGTTTGGGCAGAACCGACAGGAGAAATAAAAGCCGACAGGAAAACCTCTAGTCTGGTAGTGTATGCTCTAGCTTGATTTAAAAGATCAAATATGAAAGGATCATAGCTTCTCCATATGATGACTCAGTCATGTAATCCTCCATAACTCAGACAAACGACATAGTTTCAGAAATAGCGATCGCTACAAACCTATAACAAACTCAAAAGGAAAATAAACTTTCTTCTAAAATTATGAAATTTGACATGGCGTAGACCAAATATTTCATAGTGGTGCTAATTTGATAGAGAAAAATAACCTTGAAATGTGCCTGGGTATGCCACAGTGAGAAGGGCGCGGGGTAGCTGATCACGGATGTGGCGGCGCAAGCGGCGTGGATCCGGTGCAGGCGGCACAGGCGACGCGGGCCTGGGAGGCGGCGTCGGCAGCGCAGGCCTTGGACTTGGTGGCAGCGTTGGTGGCGTGGATCCGGATGTGGTGGCAGCATCGGGATGCTAGATACCCTTCGCCCTCGATGCCTTTGTATCTCCTCTGAAGATCCCGTCGTTGAGAGGGCTCACCCTGACCGGAGGTGTGTGTTTGTTTATGCATCTTGATTTCTGCTCATACGGAAACTAATTTATTTTTGTCACTACTAATCTATAGAATACATGTAACTTTGTTATTGTTTTTGGCAAGAGATCTATCTGAATTTGTAATTTGAGGTGAACAAAAATTGCAATAGAATATCATTTATCCAGTCTGTACAAATTTTGTGACATACAGTGCATTAGTAAGCTGCAAGGCTGTTTTAGACCAATCTGTTGGAAAGGAGCTTCCAGCGGTTGCTCTAGAAAGTTTTGAATGCCTACCTGGTAGGGGAGGTGCTGCTACTTTGAGTGGTGTAAAGGTGTACATCTAACTTGATAATACTGTCAGCCCACTAATTTTTATACCGTAAGCATCATATGTTTCATCCAATCGATGGAATTGTACTTCAGTAGCTATCATGTTTCTCAATAGAGAGGTGTTTTAGATTTTGGTAAGTTAGCATGGTTGTTTTCTGTTTGGTCAGTATGAAGGAACTGGAAGAGCCAGCTGTTGACGTGCTATCTTGACATCTCATATGCATTTGCATTACAGGTAAGAGACAACACAAATGAGCTGAGGCATCCATTGGTTCTATGCAGTGGACTATATTTCTTCACTATATGTCGATAGAAAAGTAAGTTAAC